AGGCATGGAATTCCTACGTAGCAACAAGGGTTTATTAAAATGGGGTAAAAGTAACTCTGACGTGTGCCTCATGTCTGAAACCAGAGTTTCAGCACAACAAATAATGTCAAATTTTGCCGAGATAACTGTAAGTGCATTCAAATTCCCATGAAGGCCACGAATATTACTAAAAAGTAAATTATAGTAAAAGTAAATTTAAAAAGTAAATTAAATTAAAGTTGCTACTGATCTAGCCTTTCCTCATTATCATTTCCTAGAAACCCACTTTTACTGGTTTGGGAATGCATTATTCGAGCTATGAACCACAGAAATACAAGAATAATAGCATATCCACTTTAATGCATAGAGTATATATCAATTGTTCCACCAGGGGCGGTATTTATCAAAATACTCAGTATCCTTAAGTGTACTTAATAGACGAAATTTCATGGATGCAGCATTCGTCTTTGAGCAGATTACCTAAGTATTATTTAGCAAATCGCTAAGCGTCCCAAGAAGCACTCAACTGGTTCATGAGGCTTTTTAGAAACCGGGAAAATGCAAATATCAAAAGAGACATATCCCAACCATCAATTAGCAAGATGGTCAATCGTTAGATGCCCTTGTATCGCCAACATTCCACGCAAAGTATTTAAAATTCCTTACCTGACAAGAAGACATCCAGCAAAGGCAAGCAGAATTCATGGAACAATATGGGTTTACAGGAGTGGTTGGTGTGATTGATGGCACTCATATTAAGATCATACCGCCCAAGAAACATGAGGCTGATATATAAACAGAAAAAAGCTATCACAGCATTAATGTCCAGATAGTGTTTGATGCAAACTATTATGAATGCTGTACCAAAGGCTCAACTCTTCATCTTTGGTCCAATTAGCAGTCCTCTTGGGCTTGGGGGTCGAAGTCAAGGGCTTGTTCCATTTCGAAATTTTCGCCGGCAGTTTCGAAAGAAACACGAAGCATTTGGGACTCAACGATATGCAATCGGATGCGGATTTGAAACAAATCGGTTAATATAAACCTCAAAATATATATATATTTTTTTTTTCATGTGTAAGGCGCAATAAAAATGTGTATTCATTTTATATTGAGATGAAAGATATTTTTGCAGTAAAACCTTTAATTTGCTTGAAACTAAAAGCGTTTTAAGCAGGGAAAGTTCTTGCCTGAAATCTCAAGCGTTTTTCTTGCTAACTCAAGCATTTCGCTTGCTTTCTCAAGCGACCTCCGTAGAATGCTTGACTTGCGCTTGCTAGGTCAAGCGATGTACCGTCACCATGGCAACGGCGTCGGTCGCGTACCGTACTGGTCACGATCCTTCGAATGCGGGCGTTGGCCAGGAACTCCGCTTAATATCTTATCATTTAAATATTTTTTTCACGGTATCTGATTCTGTAATTTTCTTAAAAACATATTCAAAGAAATTGAAATTAACTGTACAGCGCTTGGCCTATCGGCAAGAATTCTTGCCCAAGCGCTCCCCTGCTTAAAACGCTTTAAGTAAGGGAAATACTTCACTCAACGGAGCACTCAGACTTTTCATAGATACCACTTAAGTACTTCGCTGATGTAGGGTGGGATTTAAAACATATATTAATCCTTTTCAGTCTAATCTGAACCGATTCTTCAACTATTGTCCGGAATTGCCTTACACTTCTTATCCTCACTCGCTGTTCTGCTGCTTCCAGTCCGTTTGCGTGGACCTAAATGCGACACGACGTGCTGAGTGTCCTCCCGTCGCACACTTAAAGCGTTTTAAGCAGGGGATCGCATAGGCAAGAATTCTTACCGATAGGCCAAGCGCTGTACCGTTCCCTGCTTAATACGCATTCCAAGGAAGGCAGGCCCTGTTCAGTGATGCCAGACATGTGGAAGTGTCTTTTCATAGAGTACAAATCATAACAGTCCTTGATGAGCATAGAAATGTCAAAATAACACACAAAATATACGTATTTGGGTTTTAAAAGCAATATTCCCACCGACTTATGCACAAGTCGAGGGTGGAGTTTATTTCACTGGCGGTTGGTAACAGTTTGAGCGCGCAATTCAAAACAACTGACAAGCTAACGCCGCATCAAGATGGCAGAGTAAATCTACCCAAACATCTTAACAAAGCGCAATATTTTCTCTTATATTCATATAAAGTGCCTCTAAAACAATGACACACACTTCCGATTGACAGCCCTTTCATTCTGACGCGTTATCAAAACAAATGAATATCCTTGAATTAAAATATAGGCCTACCCAATCCCATATCGATTTTATGAGGTTAAATATAACAAATCATCGAATACAATATCAAAAGAAGAATGTTGCTAGAATTTCTCAGACTTTTTTCACTTGAAATATTCTTTATTTCATAGAATAGCAGATATATTCTCGATTTAGAGAGACGAAGAGTTTAACAATAGGTAAATTGTTCGTCTTATAATAATTAATTATTTATAAGTAAAACACTCCTTATTCCCATAATCTCCATTATCTCCTTTCGTTTTCAGTTAATTTCAATTTCTTTGAATATGATTTTAAGAAAATTACAGAATCAGATACCGTGAAAAAATTATTTATCTGATAAGATATTAAGCGGACCTGGCCAACGCCCGCATTCGAAGGATCGTGACCAGTACGGTACGCGACCGACGCCGTTGCCATGGTGACGGTACACCGCTTGACCTAGCAAGCGCAAGTCTAGCCATCTACGGAGGTCGCTTAAGAAAGCAAGCGAAATGCTTGAGTTAGCAAGAAAAACGCTTGAGATTTCAGGCAAGAACTTTCCCTGCTTAAAACGCTTTTAATTAACCTCACCATCCAGTTGAGTGTACTTAGGGACGCCGAGTAGTTTGATAAATAAGACAAGTAATCTACTCAACGATGAGTGCTGCATCCATGAAATTTCGTCTGCTTTGTGCAATTAAGGATACTCAGTATTTTTGAAAAATACCGCCCGTTTACTCATAATGACATGTATTGAACTCTTTTTTGTTGTTGTTGTACATACTTTTGTTTTTTTGTATCGCTCATTTTGTGACTCTTACTTATTATTTTGAACAATATCTCCTTCCTTATTTGGCCTTAACGTTGTTATACTGTTCATCCTTTGTAGCACTGATGATGAAAATGGTGGTCTTTGAAATGTTTGCAAAGTAAAGATGTTCATCACAACTTTGGTTATCATTTTCATCATTTGATTGTGCTTCATGCATACATAATACACTATATACATATAAATACATGCATATATACAAGGCGTAACACCGTAGTAATATGTATATTTGTGTATATATATGTATGTATATATATATATATATATATATATATTATATATATAGATATATATATATATATATGTGTATATATATGTATATATATGTATAATATATATATATATATATATATATATATATATATATATATATATATATATATATATATATATATTATATATATTATTATATATATATATTATATATATATATATATATATACATATATATATGTATATATATATATATATATATATATATATATATATGTATATATATATGTATATATATATATATATATATATGTTATATATATATATATATATATGTATATATATATATATATATATATATATATATATATATATATAATATATATATATATATATATATATATATATATATATATATTATATATATATATATATATATATATATATATATATATGTATATATATATATATATATATATGTATATATATATATATATATATATAATATATATATGTATATATATATATATGTATATATATATATATATATATATATATATATATATATATATATATATATATATATATATATATATATATATATATATATATATATATATATATATATATATATATATATATATATATATATATATATATATATATATATATATATATATATATATATATATATATATATATATATATATATATATATATATATATATATAATATATATATATATATATATATATATATATATATACTATATATATATATATATATATATATATATATATATATATAATATACATATATATACATAGTTTTGTATTACAATAGGTTAGGATACTGTATATCAAAGTAAAGGGTAAAATGATATTCAATGGTCATTTTTGCAAATTTTATGGATTCACTGTATTGTCATGAATATAACTCAGTCAACAACAAATATTTGATGAAAAGTAATTATAAACAAGTTTATACAAATGTACACCTGTAAAGATATGATAATGAAGAAAAAGTAGAAGAACAAAAGGAATACATCAATGATATGAAAAATTCTTATATACAACAATGAAAGATTAATTAATGAATATCTATTATCAAACTAAATACCTTTATTCACAGTCCACTGTCACTTCTACAAAAAATCAACTAGTCTCTCAACATGAAGACAAAAATATAAGAGACATAAGAATCTAGCTGCTTTTATACACTTTACCGTATCCAAAATACCCTAATCTGCCGCTCCTTTTCACTTCATATCTTATTCTAAGACGAGAAGCAATCAGATGTTCAGTTATATATATATTATTTATTTGTATTGACAGCAGTATTGTTTATGATTTACTTGAATTTCTTAAATAATCTATCTGTAGTATTAAATTGTGATACTGAATCCATTTCTGTTACTGATGTTGAATAACTCATATATGTACATCTGATACTCCCAAAAAGGGAAAGTAACTTCATCTAATTCTTTTGCTTTTACAGCTTTTTTTATTCTATACAGCTAAACGGCTTCAATTGGCTGGCCGAACAATTGATCTCATTGACTGTAATTCCTTGCCTTGGGTTTATCTGTTTATTGAAAAGGCAATTTGACCAGTTAAAATCTCTGTTTATAAAAATGCATAAATTTATTTATCTATTTTCAGGCTTGTTCATAATTTTGCTACCATTCCTATCATGGACGGAGAGAAACTAATAAAATGAACAATCAGAATAGGCACTTCAATTA